AGGTTGTAAGAATTTCTAATAGTGGAGGCCAGGACTCGAGTAGGGCTGTAGCGCTGTGGTAACTATGTATAGCAAGTGCTTTTATCCCGGACGATGGAAAAAGTCCAAAAAAAAAAAACACAACAGTTCCGAGTGTTACGCACCATCGTCGAACCTGTAGAATCTACGTGCTTTTATGTTCATTAACTCGGAATTCTGTTCACAAACCCATTTATGTAAGGGCCGCGCCATAGCTCAAGCGGTTAGTCGCTGGCTTCCCACCGCGGCGGCCCGGGTTCGCTCCCAGGTCTGGTCAAGTGGGATTTGTGGTGGACAAAGTGGCGATGGGGCAGGTTTTCTCCGAGTACTTCGGTTTCCCCAGCCAATCTTCATTCCACCAATTGCTCTACAATCACCCTCACCTATCATCTGGGGCTGGTACAATAGGCCTGAAGTGCCCGCAGTACAAGGGACTTAGTCCCACTCCACTAGCAATAAAAGAAGACCATTTATGTAATTACGTAGAGATGTAGTGTGTTCCCTTGAGGTACGAACCGAATTTTTAAGCGTTATTTAGATCTAAATAAGATCTGAAAGTTCGTGATGATGGTATATTAATACTTTTTGGACCTGAGATCTGGATAGCTCTATCGATTAAGCCCAACTGAGTAGGTTTTTACCTGAGGACGAAGACGGGGGGGTGTAGTTTCCGGAATATTTTTAAATTAAAAACAAGACGATGGATAACTCACAGAATGTTAGTAATTGTATTATTTAGACTTGCTTCGTGTTTGGACCGAACGTCGTGATATAGTACTTAGCACTTATAATTCGTGTTCGGGAAGCACCGTGTTCGATCCTCGGCCCAGAGACCGGGTATTCTGACAGAGCTTTCATGATTTTGCTCACTGCCTCCAAACAGGTACTATGACAGCGTCGTAGTGTAGGCCACGGTTGCCAATTTCTGCATGCCTTTCAAGTCGCCATCCGTGATAGTCTTTTTATTCTACGCTGTAAAACTACATTGTTGAGAAAGCGTCGTTACAAAAACGACAGAACGGACATTTCTTATTACTTTGATGTTTGGATAGGTAACAAAATAGAAGTCGAGGAAAAGCTTACTTCAGTGATCGCTCAAGTTCGCATGGTTGCAAAGAGGGAAATCCCCGTCCATGCCGGGAATCGAATCGCGATCGTTCAGCTGGTAATGAGTCACATTACTGACATTTCTTCATTGCCAGTACATGCAACATAGTTGTACAGCTGTGTGCCAACAAATGAGATTAATGGACGTGTTTATCTTTAAAGAAATTTAAGGGCTAAGATGCCCTCTTTCCCTTAATGACGTGCGTCTTTACCCTCATGTATCCAAAACTTTTCAGGGTGAAAGAATGTATTTTGAGTAGGAGGAGGACAGTAGTACATGCCAGTGCAGAGCGAAAATAGTTAGGCCTGACCCAGACGGTACGTGAAGCCAAGAGTGACCGTTAATAGCGTCAAGATTGGGGACAATGACCTTCACTAGTCACATTTTGGTGCAGGTTATGTGTGGGAGTGTATATTGTGTGGACCCTCAGGATGAGCAGGTACCCGACCTTCTCTGTCTGACCCATTACCAACTGCATGAGCTGGGATATTACCCAGTCACTAAGCGTTGCTACTGTCTGGAAGACAGCTCAATTCCTAAGAGGGTACAGCATTTTTCTTCTCTTGTCCACTGGTACCATACCAGCTCTGGCGCCCACGCAGCTTCATACCTAGTGGGTGTTAGGGAGTTTTTACTTTGGGAAAAAGTTGCCAGTGTGCTCGTCTGCATTTAAATATATATGGAGTTTTGCTTCTATTCCATCTATACATATGCCTTCATGGGACGATGCTTAAGCACAGGGACAGTTGTAACTTTTGCCTTATCAACTGCATAGGTTAAATTAGATTCTGCGGAATTAGGAATGGTAAATTTGAAAGAAAACAGTCATGTACTGTGTGAAAACATTCATGATATCACCTCATACGCATGGAGGGACTTGTGGAAAACTCTGAGAAACTCAAATGTAGATAACTTGACTGAGGACCGAGATTCGAACTGTGGACCATCCAAATACGAAGTAATGCTAAACGCTACACCTCAAAATTTGGTGTGGAAAGAATACACGTGAGCGAAAGCATTAAAGATGTGGAACTCAAAGCATTCATGTTTTATATTCTGGAGATCCCTGGTTCGAATCTCGACTGGGGCGCCATCAGTTTTTGTTGAGGCTTTTGAGGGTTTTCTCAGTCTTGTCTAGGCGATAGTACCCAGAAATAGTCAATGTCCATATCCTATCTTCTCTCTTCATTCCAGTTAACGATAATCAACTCATTAGACCCTAAATAAATTATGCAGTCGATACATCACTATTTAAATAAACCACTGAGTGGCTTCATAAAGCATTAACGCACATGACTCCTATTTGGAAAGTGTTCGGTTCAGATTCTGGTCAGGCCACTAGCTACCCTGACTGAATTTTTGTGATCTTCCTCAGGCCTTCCAGGAAAATTCAGGTTTAGTACCTCAGTTAGGCCACAACCGCACCCTTACTAATACATTCCAGTACATCATTCATTAGTGATCCTACAATTCAGTGCTGTCATAGAATAACTCACAAAAGCAAATAATAACCCCAGTACTTTCTGTATTGCCATACAGTTAGATTTTCATGTACAATGGCAGCCTATTTTGTGCATTTGGACTAAATTCAGTCAGTACTTCTCGGTGGAAATGCTTAAGCACAGCTTTCACCAGAATTAACTTAATCTGATCATTGATTTTTCATTCTAAATATTACATCTGAAACCGGAAATAACATTTCATTTTGGCAGGTAGTTGTTACACCGTGTGTCTTGTTTGTGATAATGACCTGCAAGAAGGTGAGATTGACAAAAGAAGTTTTACACTGTACAGCATCCTCAGAAACAGCGCCAAGCGATGAGAGAGATGGTATGGTTGCTACTGTGTGTTTGGATCATAAAGAATCTTGCCAAACCATGGTTTCAACTCCTGGAGATGCAATAAAATAGTTTGTGTTCTTTGCTGAAAGAAACATACACACAAATGTCTATACAAGCTCAGCTCATCAGAAATGAGCCCAAAGTTACTGGCTGTGCCTTCTAGACAGGTGTATACGCTCAACTCTCGATTATCTGGGGGCGGATAAACCGGTTTGCGGCTTAACCGGGGCTACCGGGCTTTTTTGAGGCTTATATGTTGTTTAATATTCATTCACTTTTGTTTCACTTGGTGAATTGTAACACTATTTTCGTACTAGTGTGAACCGAGCTCTGTGTTTTTGGGTCCCGTTATGCTAACACAGTGTTCTAGGGTAAGGGTGAAAGAATGCAAGGATTTGTGGAAAGTTTCAAGGACAGATACACCGCCCCAGTTAGTCTCTTTGTATCGATCTTCAAGTGCGTTAGCAAAATGTCAGGGTGTAAAAGGAAGTGTGTTGTGTTAAGTATTCAACAGAAACTCGTGAAAGCCGGGCTTGGAAATGTTAAGCAGTGACAAAACCGTAAGTTCAGTGGGGGTGCAGCCAGAAGAGCGGGAAGAAAGTGAGAATGAGGAAGAGGTGGACAGTGCTGCTAGTAAGAAAGTATCACATGGTGCTGCTCTTAATCATTTGGAATCCTTACTAGACTATCTTGAGAGTGAAGAGAACAGTTTATTAAGTGACAAGCTAATATTACGTAGGCTTCGTACGGATATCCGTAAAAAGGAAAATGCCGCGAAAAAACAAATGATAGTATTAATTTTTTTTAAGTGTTAAGTGTGAATATTCGTAAAAAGTGTTGGATGTTGTTGAACACGGTGATTGAAAAAACTAATTCATACTTCAGTGTAATTAAAAAAAAGTATTAAATAGGCCATGAGATGACATAAAAATGAGGTTGAATAAATTTAAATACAGGTAGACCTATAGTATTATGAAAGTACAGTATTACAGTACTACTTTTAATAAAATTTGTCTTAACCGGGTTTTCGATTAATCGTAATTTCCATCCCCACGATTATCCCGGATTATCGAGAGTTGAGTGTATTTATGACACAGTGGACTGTGAATTCCCCCAACAGTATGACATGAAATAGGTATGTCAGGTCTCCAAGTTAATAACTGGAAGCGTTGAAAGATGTTGTCCTGGTAATGTGTCTGAATTATATTTGGGAGCACAGACATGCTGGCAGTGCCCGCACGTGAATGCACATGCCTATGGCCACTGGCCAGAGGATGATTCAGCCATTGGACTATAGCTGTAACATTTTGCAACCTGGGCATCTCTTAATGTTCAGTGCAATGTAATGTAATATAATGTTATGTTATGTTATGTTATGGGAAGGGGTGTAATTACATCCCAGTTTAACCCCTGAACATGAGATTAAGATATGTAATATATGAACGCATTACTTGTAACGTCCCATACGGTCAGCATTAGCAGCATCATCTGTTATCATACTGTGTGGTTAGCACTTGCATGGAAGACTTCCAAGTGGTGTGGCCTGTGGTTTTATGGCAAACTCCCAACAAGGTCATCTCACAGTTACAGTTTAGTGTTATGTATGTTGTGCACATGTATGCATGTGCATACATGCTTTTAGGAGTGTAGGATATTAGTGTCCACAGATTATGCATAAAATTATGAAGCATACTTATATAAGTGTTCCGGCAACATGTATCCTTAAGATTTTGAAGTGTTTTATTGTTGATGGTAGTAATTTTGAAAACACATAAGCTTATGGTGCACAACTTATGGGCCTTCAGACTACTTGTTTCTTTGTACCATTAGCACTTCTATAATTTTAATAATGGAAAGTGATAATTTCATACATCATTCCCATTTGCTGCAATGGCAACATATGTATTGTAAAGTAAAACTTAAGTGTCTTGAAAGAGATGGACATGTTTTTGCAATGTGATGTCATTTGTCAACAGTAACTGTACTGGTATCCCAATTGATTAGACACCCACAAATTTGTATTTGTGTTTCAGTATCAGTATGCACCGCACATCAGGCCGCAATAGCTATGATGGGAAGATTGCAGGTCTCTATGACTTGGAGGAAACACTGGGGCGTGGACACTTTGCTGTTGTGAAACTCGCTCGCCATGTCTTCACTGGGGAGAAGGTTGCTGTCAAAGTCATTGATAAGAGTAAGCTAGATGAGGTCTCCAGGGCACATCTCTTCCAGGAGGTAAGTTTGAATCAGCCTCATTTTATGGTTGGGAAAAAATGTCTTTTAGCCAACATAGCTTCTGGCTTTGTCATTGGATTGAAATATTTGCACAACTGTGAATAAAGTTTTTTAATTTTGCAATGAGGCTTTTGTTTTCATTTTTGAGTGATGTGACTGTCATATGTGGGAATTTTTCCAGTGTGTCAAAGAAATTAGCAGTCTCCTTATTTTTGCACATATCAGACAGATTTCCTTGCAAATTAAAGGTGGTGATGTTGAAATGGACTTTATTTTTAAATGTTGTCTCCTATTAGTCTACCCATATTTCCAGATTTGTTAGTCAGACTATGAGAATTTGCCACTGCCTTCTACTGAGCATGCTGAATAAATGGTAACATGTGGATTTGTTTCAGAAATGGCCAGTTTGAACAGTGATCAAGATACGAGTACTAACTATTCTGAGGTTATTGTGGTTTACTTCAATGTATTTATGTGAATTCTGAGATAGTGCCTTAATGTACAGGGTGATTCAGAAAGATGGACACAGTTTCAATTGGCTATGTTTCCTGAATTATATGTTGCATTTGAATTCTGTAAATTACATTTGATTATACATACATAAGTTTATAGATGTACAATGCGGCTGCACGGATAACATTTAGATGGTAGCTGAATTCATCCCACACTCGATGACAAATATCTTGTGTCACCGAGTTCACCACAGCTGTGATACAGTTTCTTAGGTCATTCAAATTTGTGGGAAGAGGTGGTACATAAACTGCATCTTTCACAAATCCCCACAGGAAAGAGTCGCAGGGTGTGAGATAAGGAGACCTCGGTGGCCAGAACTGAAGTGCGAGGTCTTCATTCCCCATGCGACCTATTCATCGTTGAGGTAGAGATTCATTCAGGAAATGTCGAACATTCAGGTGCCAATGGGGTGGAGCTCCGTCCTGCTGGAAAATGTAATCTCCTGAATCTTCATTCATTTGAGGAACAAGTCAGTTTTGCAGCATTCAAAGATACATTACTCCAGTAACCGTTTTTTCATCAAAAAAGAAAGGTCCATAAAACTTTGTTAACTATATTGCACAGAACACATTAACTTTCAGGCTGTCCCTGACATGTTCAAGTGTTACACGGGGATTTTGTAGCCCTCATATGCGAACATTGTGCCTGTTGACTTTCCCACTTAGGTGAAACGTAGCTTCATCGCTAAAAATTACACGAGGTAGAAACAATTCATCTTCCATGTTTTTGAGCATACGGTCACAAAATTCTACATTATCTACCTTATTGTTTGCGTGAAGTTCCTGTACCAGTTGTAGGCAGTATGGTTTGTACACTAACCAGCGACTCAGTACACCCCAGACAGTTGTTTGTGATAGTCCAGGTTCTCTACTAGCACTACGGGTTGACTTCATTGGGCTACGCTCAAAGCTCACTCGACTGCACTCCACGTTCTCCGATACACGTGATCGGCCCAGGCTTTTACCCTTACACGGAGAGCCAGTTTCATCAAATTGTTTATTCCAACGATAAATGCTCCTCCTCGTTGGAGGTTGGATGTTAAACTTACGACGAAATGCACGCTGTACCACAGTTGCAGACTCACTTTTACTGAACTCATGAATGCAAAAAATCTTGTATTGCATAGTAGTCATCTCGCTTACAACTGGCGTGATTCTGGAGTCCTCTAACGGTAGTATTAGAAACTTTACAACATCCTCTTTCAAATGTACTTTACAGAGTTGAAATGCAACATATACCCATAGTTCAGGAAATGTAGCCAATGTCCATCTTTCTGAATCACCCTGTACTCATACAGGATGGCCTTCTCTTTTTAAATCCATTCTTATTATAGGCATGGCACCTCATGTACCTTGAAACCCATGACCACACGCTTACTTGCTGCTATCCATGATTATATTTGCATCTCATTCAGTGGTACACAACCTGTGTAGTTTGAATGGTAATATTAAAATAAGAAAGTTGTAGATCAGTCTTTCATCTCCATGACCAGATCATTAACTGATACCTGAAGAAGCTGTAATAACCAAATTTGATCAGGGAATCAGTTTCATGACCAGTTATTAACCCATCCCTGAAGATGGAGTCTGCAGTTTCTGTGACACATTGGCAAACCAGTCTGCCACGATACTTTCATCACCAAAAATTGAATGCAAATAGTTTGTTGAATTATTGACTTTTTGAACATTATTCATCATCTTGTTTTAAACAAATGTGGGATAGTGGATAATGTCAAAAATGGTCAGTAATTGTATTAATTTAACATTGTTACAACTTTTTAAATATTGTTGCATGTACAGCCATTTCTGTGCAGTAGGTGAATAAACAAATGGCCGTTTCTTAGCAGCGGCTGGTAAACACATTCCCACGGAATAGAATACACATGCAACGATAGACTAACTGTTGGAAATGGGGTGTTTTGTATGTGGTGCACGGCAAGGAGTTATAAAGGAGGTAAATGGGACAACCCAGACAATTGAGTTCTGCAAGGGAGTCTGAGAAGAGATGGCACTGTGGTTCAGTTGATAGTTGTTAGTTAGTTAGTTAGTTAGTTAGTTGAGAGTTGTTAGAGGCTGTGAAGATAAGACCCTGAGTGTGGCAAGCTGAAGAAACTGCAGTGTTAGAAGGCATTGCCAGTGAACAGCTGGTGAAGCCACAGCAGGCTAGAAAAAGGCTTAGCTGGTGCTATGGTGATTTGTTAAGTGTGGAGATTAGCAAGAGCAGCGTAATTACATGTTGTTCTGAGCGGTGCTTGTAAGTGGTCAATAAATCCATTCACCAGTCCGTAAAAAGTAAAAAAAATAAAGCTATCCCTGTAACAGGCTGTGAAGGCCCACAGGGTTGTGAGACATTGAGGGTCCCACATTATCTAGGCAGTCGGCACAAAGATGGTGGTAAGGTGTCAGCCTTACGTGCCGGCTGCACTTTACTCCCCAGGAAAATTATTTAATTAATTCCTGGTACTCATTTCTGTTAGAGGCTGAGTCAACCCCAGGGCCGTAGTGCAGCTGGACGGATTAGGTGAATTGAATTCACCAGTCCGTACTTCATCTCAAGTCACACACATACACATGACAGTATTTTGTTGTTTGTGATAAATAACAAGTTGGGAATTATATTTATAGCATAAAACTAATGACATATTAACTCTGTTATTGCTTCCAAGTTTTAAAAATATTCTGTTTTATTATCTTGAAAACCATAAGACTTGAGGAAGAAATGTTTGGACATAAAATATATGTTTTATTTTTGTCTGTGAATGTTGTTCAAAGTATTTTTTACTGCAGTAATATTTAGTTAGTTATGCTCAAAATACACCCAGAAATGCATGTAAGTGTCCATAGGTGTCCAATTTGATCCAAATTTGGAATGTGCTGACAAATTTCAGTAAAGCTTTTCAGCGTCAAATTTCATTGAAATCTGTTCACCAATTCCCACCTTGTTACATGCAGACAGACAGACAGACAGACAGACAGACAGACAGACATGGTGAAGCTAATAGGTGCATTTTGCAATTTCATTACTGATGCACCAGAAAGAAGTATGGTGGATTGATGATGAGTCCAAAGCAAAGACTGGAAAAAGTGGGTGCCTTATGCAACATGTGGACAGATGTTAGGATGTGCAAAGAGGATTGAATAAGTAAAATAAAATGCAGTGAAATAAGGGAGAAAGTAACGGTTATAGCAACATAGTCAATTATATATATGAGGAACGTTCTGTAAATTTTTTTAATGAAAACTACAACAGATACAGAAAGCATAATAACACAGTTAAATAGAGCAAGATTTCAGCTACTTACAGTTGTTTTTCCACATAATCACCACCATTTGTTATGCACTTTTGCCGGGGATGAACAAGAGCCTGTATGCCGCGCTTGTAAAAGTCTGCACCAGCAGAGGCTAGCCACTTTCTTACAGCTGCAATGACAGCATCATTGTCTGGAAAATGTTGCCCACATAGTCCATCTTTCATAGTCCCAAAGAGATGGAAGTCTGAAGGTGCTAAATCGGGGCTATAAGGTGGATGTGGTAGGGCAGTCCAGCCAAACTTTGCAATGTCCGCGGTGGTTGCCAAACTGGTATGGTGTCTAGCGTTATTGTGTTGCAAGCAAAAGTTGTCTGCTTCTCTGGCCTGACTCTGGAAATGCAGGCTTTCAGCTTAGTCAGCATTGTCTTGTAGTGTTCAGAATTGACAGTCTCACCAGGCTCCAGGAAATCCAACAAAATCACACCCTGCCTATCCCAAAAGACCGTGCACATCATTTTCCCTGCCAATGGCTGTGTCCTGAACTTCTTTTTTTTGGGGGGGGGGAATCCGGATGTTGCCACTCCATGGACTGTCTTTGGATTCCAGCTCGTAGTGGTGACACCACGTCTCATCTCTGGTGATGATGCTGTCCAGAAACTTGTCACCTTCATCCTCAAACTGGTGCAACAATTCCTGACATACCTCCATTCGATGAGTTTTGTGGTCCTGTGCAAGCATCCGTGTGACCCACCTGGAACAAACTTTGCGATAATCCAACTTCCCCAACATCGTTTCCAATGCATTACAGCCGATATTAAGTCGTGCACACAGTTCCCTGGTTGTTATCTGCCGATCTGTATGGATGAGGCACTGTTCATTGTGAGGAGTGGCAGCTGAGCAGGGACGCCCATGGCATGGCTTGTTGTGCACTTCACTTTCGCTACTGTTGAAACGCACTACCCACCGCCTCACTGTGCTGACATCCACTGTATCATCTCCATACACCTTTGGCAAGCGTCAATGGATGTCAGTGGGTACAATTTGTTCGGCAGTGAGAAACTCAATAACACATCTCTGTTTCATACACACTTCTATATTTTTGGTAGACTGCTCTGCTGTTGCAATCTGTCGCACAACAACCAAACTAACAGTACATTGGCAAGAAGGTTCAACCTTTTTACAACACCAACATCCAGCTCAGATGTTACATATTAACCTTTATCGGACGAACGTCATCATATGATGTCGTTAAAAGTAAGGGCAGCTGGCTGAACGTCATCATATGATGTCGCGGATTCCACGCGTGTAAGGTTGTTTTTTTAATATTATATTAAAAATATAAATTGTTGTTCTATTTACATGATTTTTGGTCACCACCTTTATAAAGAGACAGCCTTCGTTCCTGCATGATCTAATGTAATCTAGGGACGTCATATGACGTTAAAAGTAAGGACAAATTTAAGAATGACATCATATGATGTCGCGCATTCCACGCGTGTAAAGATTTTTTTAAAATTAAATTTAAAATATAAATTGTTCTTCTATTTACATAATTTTTGGTCACAACCTTTATAAGGTGACAGCCTTCCCTCCTGCGTGATCTAATGTAATCTACCGACGTCATATGGCCGAACGACCTCATATGATTTCGCGCATTGCACGCGTGTAAAGATTTTTTTTAAATTAAATTTTTGCTCTACTTACGTGATATATGTTCACCATCTTCATGAGGAAACAGCCTTCCCCCCTGCGTCATCTATGGTAATGTGGCCTTCGTATGGTACTGCCGAAAACATTCCGAAATGCAGAGTCCGACGTCGCAGCTCACGCACTTCGTACGAACGCTAGACCGCTTCCCACGCGAAAAGCACACACGACACCTCAGTTGCGATTTAGAGGAAGCAGGCCAGTGATGTCGAGCTGCAGTGATATTTATCCCCGCAGCTACACCGGAATAATTATTCACACCTCTCCAGCCACACTGGTCTGGCGGTCCCCAAGTTGCCGACGAAGGTGATGACCCGTCGTCCGCGGAATCAGAATTCCAACTTTGCTCGCCCCTATCATAATCTGTGTCATTGAACAGCTCTTTCTCAATTTCAGGCATCAGAAGACCAACCTTCCACGCCACATTCAGAATCGGTTGAATAGCAGTCCGAATCTGTGTCTCATTTCAGCATTTTCCATACGACGTCGTCGTGTATACGGATCTCTAGCAGTGCTAGCAGTGAATCTCTGTGCTTAGACCACGATAAGAAGCCATAAATCTTAACCTCGAGCCCACACATACAAAAATCTCATTCACGTCTTGGCTGAACCCAATATCTGCTTCGTGATGTCATGGGTGGCTAACCTTATATTGCGATGTTTCAAAATCGTTACAAACACAATGGTTTGACTGCAATGAATGAACGAATGACCGATCTGGCAACACCATATTCCGAGAATTAACTCCTGTATCTATCTAACACATTACACAGCGAGTGATTTCAGACGCCTACAGACATGCATACCGACATGTCCCATATGATAAATAAGCTTCAACAAGAGACACCATTGAATGTGAAGTCGCCACAAGGACTTACACTGCTAAAACGCATGGTGCAGAAAACGTATTACACTGCTAGAACGCATGGTGCAGAAAATGTATGAATTTCAGGAAATTTTATTTTGGGAATCAGTGTAAAAATTTTTTACAGATATTAAAATCTGTAAATTAGAATATCTGATTCTATATTCTTTCTACATTAAAGGAGCGTTCATTTCGTTCGTTTATCATAAAAAATGTAGAAATTACACCATTTTTAGAAACATGCTTACAATTTCATTGCTCTAGAAGGGCGGGCATTTAAATAAACTCCGTCCAGCTGCCCCTACCGGAAATTAAATGGCCCGTCCGATAAAGGTTAACAGAAAAAAATAGGAGGCATTATATATGGAACACCCTTCATATATATATATATATACACACACACACACACACACACACACACACATGACCCATGAATTCAGATAGAGGAAGCTTTGTTTAGTTCTTACCAGGAATAAAAGACTTAGGTAATATTTGTTTGTGTTCAGGAGACCATTGTTGACTGTTGAATATACAAGTTAGGAAATTTTTGCATAATAATCAGTTGCTATCTTGAAAACTATAAGCCTTGTGGAGAAAGTGTCTTGGTTATAAAACATGTCATGTGTCTCTGCAGCTGTTTGATTCAAATATTTAAGGAGCTGAGTCCAACGTACATGCAGAGACACATGTATGTTTTCATGTAAAGCATTTGTTACTTTTGTATGATTTAAACTTATTTGGAATATGTCATCAAATATTAGTAAAGCTCCGTGATATCAGATTTCATGAATATCCCTTCAGATTTTCTCTAGTTATTTTATACATACATACAGATGAATGGAGCAATTTTATAGGTATGCTAAAGTGCCAAAAAATGGAATTTTATAATTGTATGGGAAGATAAGTTTTATAACTTGCAATCATTTGTTAGGTAACAAGATTGGTATAAATTTCTTTCCTTGAGTGTATAGGTCAACCAAACAGAAGCGTTTCTGAAGAAACTATGGTGGTGTTAATTTTTTCTTTGTATTAGCACATTGAGATTCTTGATCAGAAATGTTCAGTGTGCTGCAGGGTTTAGCATATCTTCTTGTTCACTTTAGTCCATTAGGTGGTTCCCATGCTATGACGTGGTTAGAGAATGGTTTAGGCAATGAAAAAGTGTCACAGAAAGATTGATATTTAAGAATGTTCTCAGATATACAGTGTAAAAATTTGTTTTGTGGACAAAATAGCTGGGCAGCATGTATCGTCTTTTGAACTGTGAACTAGGTATGAATGCAATTCAACTTCGGCTGGTTTGCATATTAAGGGAGGTGTTTTTACATTAGTAGGGCTTGGATGGATGGAGACTGGGTGTTGAGATTACTGTGAACAGTTAAGTTAGCAAACCAACAGAAGAAGAGATTGTTTGCTTTTGCTTTTAGTGATTTTCCTTTTATACATTCACAGGTGAGGTGCATGAAACTAGTCCAGCATCCGAATGTTGTGCGTTTGTACGAGGTTATTGACACCCAGACAAAACTTTACCTCATCTTGGAACTTGGTGATGGTGGAGATCTCTATGACTACATCATGCGACATGAGGGGGGTCTTGGGGAAGAAGTGGCACGTGAATACTTCCGTCAGATTGTCCGCGCAATTTCGTACTGCCATCGGCTTCACGTAGTGCACCGTGACCTGAAACCAGAGAATGTAGTATTCTTTGAACGCCTTGGCATGGTAAAACTCACAGATTTTGGGTTTAGTAACCGTTTCAACCCTGGCCAGAAGCTGGAGACATCTTGTGGTTCTCTGGCATATTCAGCTCCTGAAATACTGTTAGGGGACTCATATGATGCACCTGCTGTTGGTGAGTTGGATTTGTGTAAACATTGGAAATGTTTGATTTTTTAATACATAATTCATTGCTTCAGTCATTCATCTTGACGTTCCTTTACAGCAGAGGCAGATAATTTTTTTATCACAGCTGATGGATGTGGAACAATGTGCGTGTGCTGTATTGAAACATGTTTCAGATAGAAGTTACGGATCTTAGGAAAATATGTATTTCATGTGATTGTGATAGCTGAGTCAGCAGTGTGATTTGCTACTATCTGGATGACTCTGAATTTCATATCCTGGCAGGGGTAGTGATTTTTCTTCTTACATCACATCCAGACTGACTTTGGGGCTAATCCAGTCTTGTATCAGTTGTTTAACAGAGCCCTTATCCTTAGGAGCTATCCACTTACTGCCATCTAGTTTCAAGGTGTGGACCTTTGTATATCTCCGCTGCCCACACGCCTGAATGATATTGTGCTTTAGCACAGGGGCAACTTTACCCTTTATACTGTCATAATTTTTTTTGTCAGATAAGTCTTTTTTGAGAAAATTGGTAAAATTTTATTTCTGTTCTATACTATGTGTTCTGTTGGACTAATATGGGCCCAAATTGCTTACCTGATTTTAGTATTGACATTCCTTTCAAATTTCCTGAAAATCTCTGTAAGCATATTGAATGCTTATGCAGCATATAGAGAATGCTGGTCTGTTGCAGATGTATGGTCCTTGGGGGTAATCCTGTACATGCTGGTCTGTGGACAGGCACCTTTTCAGGAAGCTAATGACAGTGAAACTCTGACCATGATCATGGACTGCAAGTACACAATACCTGTCCATGTATCAGATGCATGCAAAAGGTGAGACCTCAGAGTATAGTCTGCTAGAACTAATGAGCGACATAATTGTGCATTATTTAAATTCATTGCCTCTTGCCTCTCCAAGGAAGATCTTTGAGAATGTATAGTGGTCCTGTATTTTAGTGGTGTTAATATTGTGACATGTTGCACAATGGAGGACAAACCCTCCCTCCCCCAGCAGTGATGTGGTGGGTGAGTCAGCACTCCGTCCCCCCCCCCCCCCGCACTGTGACATGGCACGAAATGCTGCTGTTGACACGGCATCAGGCAACAGCCGTACCAATTACATAACAGGCAAACACTACGACTATATAAGAGAGCTGCACTGCCTGCAAGGCGAGTTGAAATATGGCCGTCGCCGAGTTCAGTTGTTGTTGTCAGTTAAAAGTATATCAGCCGCCGAAGTGAGGTTTCCAGTCAGCGGTTCTCAAGTTACAAGTTAGCCAGCAGTGTGTCATTTAACCAGTCAATAGGTGTCTATTTCGTTGGAATATTTGTGATACTGCCAGTGGCAGTAATTGTCAAATTGTAAATTGTGTGATTGTAAGAGCGAGTGGAATAAATTCGCTATGTCCAATAAGGCGTGAAGTTATTTGTCACGTTATACACCCAACACGTTACAGTATGTTGGCTTCAGAAGGAATGAAATGTTATTAATCATTCAAATAAAAGTTTTTATACCCAAGACACATGAAATAATGCTGGGCCAATTATATTGCATAATGATGAACTGTGTGACATACAGTTCATCCAGTATCATAAGGATAGTGAAATGAAGATTAGATTTTTTGGATGGATCAGTGATCTTAAATGTACAGAATTGTATCAGGTACAGCTTTTGGATAATGTCCACTTAGGAAGAAAATGGGAGAGCAGAACTAAAAAGTATCACAAGAAAATACAGTAAACTCCCCATTATCTAAAATTTAACGGGAACGGGATGTTCGGTTACATGAATCTGCCTGTTGCATGAGAAAACCTCTGAGAGAAACCAAATTTTTACAAAATTTCACCCTTTTCTGGTCTTTTAAATATTACCATTTTCTATTTTGAAGTCAAAAGAATACATTTTCACCTTGAGTGTTGTGTGATAGCCATCTTAAGTGGTACAGTAGATTGATGGGTAAAAGATTTTGGATGTACCATAATGTGATCACATGTTGCTTAAGCATCAACTGGAATGATACCTGCATGAGAGAACAATGAACAACACTACTGGTGGCAGTTCTGCTGCATAGTAAGTGAACATATGTGCACTGAAATTTATTTTAAATAACTTTATAAAAATCATAATTTTTTGTAATTTTAATGGTTGCATGCAAATTCCTGATGTCTGGATACTGATAATGGGAATTTACTGTATGTTGTAAGGCTGATGACTGAACTGAACAGACTCAGGAATGAATTTGGAGCAGGGTCTGTTTTCCCGGCAGATTAAATCCTCCTCCAGACGTGATGTGTGATGTACTTTTAAATGAAACACCTGTAGACCTTCTATTTGTCATAGGACTAATGGACCTGTTGTTATACCCACTACATATTTACAGACTGATAGCTCGGATGCTAATTCGAGAACCAGAGAGGCGGGCCTCCCTGGAAGAGATTGCAGCGGACCCTTGGCTGGGAGAAGATTTGAACACCCAGCCAACAGACTTCCTTCCTCTAGTCTCTCGTGAACATGTCTCAGAAGAGGATCATGCTCTCATCATCCAGAAGATGGTGAATGGCAATATTGCCACCAAGGAGGAGATTCTTGAGTATGAACTTAATTGTTTACAGATAATTTCCTATTTTGCCATTTCACGGTGACATTTCTCTGATTTTTACCACTTGTTGCGATAATTGGTAAAGTTTTTGTTTTGAAGCTTGTATCTTCTTCTGAAACCAGCACCTGTGCAAGTCAGAATTGGTCATGACAAAAGTGTCAGTGTGTAGGATTGAATTCCCTAAACTTTGTACTTCAGTTGGTCAAGTCGCAAATCTAATAAAGAATTTCCCTGCAGCATACTGAAGAAAACTTTAATTGAAAAATATTTGAGATTGGGGTAGGGCTAGGGAAATTAAGCACCATATAAATAAAATATATTAATGTGCTCAGTTAAAACCCTCTCACTCCCTCTCTTGGAATTGAGACCAACATCTTTTAAATAATTTTCTAGCCTGGAGTCAGATTGATAATTTTAGCAGTTTAAATACAGAATCAAATTGGGGATGGTAATTTGTCACATGTTCAATTAAATAAACTTCACTGGGAGTTCAGTGCTTTACTGAGTCTGTCATGCAGAAAATCAAATCACAGCACAATGTTAGACTGTGTCAAACAAAGTAAATTGGAACCAGATGGGTACAACTAACTGATTCCATGGAAATGAGCCCTTGTTTAGAATCTGCCAGTTGCACAGGTACTCAAGAATTTCCCAGCTTTTTGTGGAACCAGAAGCTTTTATTACTGTGTTCACAAGAACCTCGGCTGGTTCCTGTCCTGACACAGATCAATCCATTCCATACCACCCCCATCCTATTTCTCTTAAGATCCATTTTAATATTATCCTCCCATCTATGCCTAGGTCTTCCTGGTGGTCTCTTTCCTTCTGTCTTTGTCACCAGAATCGTATATGTATTCCTCTCCTCCCACATGAGTGCTACATGTGCTACCAGTCTCATCCTCCTTGACTTGATCATTCTAATTATACTTGGCAAAGTGTACAAGTTATGAAGCTCCTGATTATGCAGTTTTCTCCAACCGATCACTTTATCCATCTTCAGTTCAAGTATTTTCCTCCACACTCTGTTCTCGAACACCCTCAGTCTATGTTCTTCCCACCAGTTGGTTATAACGTGCCGAAATAGATTGGAATTCCCTTTTTAGCATCTTTAAATATTTGTGTTGCCTTGCACTGCATTTCTGTGTTGACCTAGTGACCATCTTGTTTCAGTGCACTGGATAAGAATGAGTACAATCACATCACATCCACTTATTTCTTACTGGCTGAAAGAAAGCTGCGACTGCACCGTCAAGAGCAGGCTCAGGCGCAGCAGAGGCTGAGGTCAGGACAGTGTCTACCAGAACTCTCACCAGTGACACCTGGGTGAGCCCTTAACAAGAAACAAGTTTGAACCCAGGATCACATTTATGGAGATACTCAGTTTTGAGTTTAAATAGTCTGCATTTGTGCATAGTCTTCATTGTTGTCATCTCTCCCAGTATTAGGATCTAGTCATCCTGTTACATTAGGACTAAACAATCTTTTCTTTCACTTTAGAACTGTTTCAGGTATCTTATAGTAGGCTCGCACTGCTCCCTTGCCTCAACTCAGTACCTTTGCACACTGAGCCTTGCCTCACGTTTGTTTTTATGTGCCCCTGTTTACCTTTCTGGAGTATATGAATTTTAATGACCAAATACAGCAAGTCAAAGATTAGTGATTGGACTACTTTAAGTTAGAATTAAGGTAGTTAAAATGGAAATGCTGAGATGAAACAATAGTGTTAAATTAAAATATATATGAATATTTATACCATGTATACAGAATGTCACAATAATAACAGATGTAACAGAAGACCAGTTATTGCAGAATTTTCCCAATATGTGTGACATCTAAATTAACACATGGGTATTCCACTTTCATTGTGACAAATTTTGTCATGAATCACCTTAAAATATTCTCATAGAAAATCCTGTCCTCTGTTTCATCCAAGGAATGGCGAGGCATGTTTTTGGTTGAATCAGTAGAATTAGTGTCACTCCCACGTAGAAATTTACATGCCTCTTATTTTGGAATTATTGGTATCCTTTAGTGGCAAGACATTCATGATCATCTTCATGAAAGCCATTCACTTGTTCAGAAGGTACATACATGGACATGATACCAAAGACTGCCTTTCCTTAGCGAATATAGCATGTAGTGTCCTGTGTCTGCTTCCTGTAGAGATGTCTGTGGAGGATGGCATAGCTCTAATATGCCTGACATGTTTGGGGTAATGACTAGTGTGAATGACTTTTTTAGCCCTGTAGTGCAAATGCTGGGAGAGTACTTTGAAATAAATCATGATCACTTCCTTTCTAATCCTTTCTAATTCACCATTTAGTAATTTTTTTGAAGGCCTGACCAGAACACACAGTACTTTGGTTGTTTTCCTGATGCTACTTTATTTTTATTCAGAAAACCATACACAAAGGCAGACAGTAGACAGCAGCAGGATTCTCCTTCCACAGTTAACCAGACTTTGCTGAGTGTCAGGACACCAGGGGATGTTCCTCAGGTAAGAATACTGATTTTACATAGATGTCTGTAGAGACTGGTGGGATCAGCACCATGTCAACATGGCAAGAATTATCGCTGGTTTGGAGGAAATTGGTGCTTTTTCAGACTTAAAATAATGAAAATGTAATGTCAGAGACTATATTGAAATGAAGTGTCATGAATCATAATTTTTTCTGAATAGAGAAAAGTTTCATAATGTGATTAGGGACTTGTGTGTCACTATATTAACCTTTAACGTGCAGACTTTTAAATTGCCAGGAGCTCTCTGAGGCTGGTATTTAAATCACCCCAATTAATTAACATTGCAAACTTTCAGGAAAAAATACACATTTTCCGTTCTGTGAAACACAGAAATACGAACTAAAAACAACCTGAAAGACAATAAAATTTTCTACNACACATTTTCTGTTCTATGCAACATAGAAATATGAACTAAAAACAGCCTGAAAGACAATAAAATTTTCTACATATACACAAGAGAGCAATTTTTACAAACGAAAATTAACTGTGATTATTTTGTCATGAAGTGCAAAATATAATCTTTATATATGTTATGAAATTCCAAAGGATTTACCCATTGTTTTTTCTTCAACCTTGAATCATGGTGATATTGTAAATATAATCACACTATATACAATAATATTTTGTTCAGACTGTACATGAGTTTGAACTGCGTCACTTCACAGTTTACGATACACTCTGACACGCAGTCCACCTCACACAAAGCGGCATCACACTTTTTACAACAGAAGAGCGTGCTCCTGCTTTTCTTATTTAGCGAAACACACAACATCTTTGTTTCCCTTTGGTTGGCCAGTG